GTGTACTAACACCAATCTCTATACCACCCATTCGACGTTCTCAACGAGCTTCGCAACGACCTTCCAATTTGAAAGCCTTTCATTGCTCTCACGCCAAGCTTTGAGCTACTTCTACATCTTCTTTTGGCACTGGTTCCACCAAAGGTAAACATCATCCCATGTCCCATTTCATTTCTTCTCACAACATGTCTTCCTCTCATCATAGTTTTGTTTTAGCCATCTCTTCTATTACAGAGCCTAACTCATATTCTCAGGCTGTGGAAAACCTCAAATGGCAAGAGGCAATGTAATGTGAGTTTTAGGCACTTGAGAAGAATCATACCTAGTTACGGTTTTACCTCTTGAGAAAACTCTCATTGGATGTAAGTGGCTATATAAAGTAAAGTACCGATCTGATGGTACAGTTGAATGCTACAAGGCTCGGTTATTGCCAAGGGTTATATCCAACGTGAAGGATTGGACTACATGAGACCGTTGCACCACTTGCACAGTTGGTCACTATTCGCTGTTTATTAGCCATTGCTTCGATTCGTAACTGGACTTTGCACCAATTAGATGTGCAGAATGAATTTCTTCATAGTGACTTGGAAGAAGATGTATACATGAGTCTTCCTCCGGGACTTTTTCGACAGGGGGAGACAAGGGTTTGTCGGTTACACAAATCTATATATGGACTCAAGCAGACATCTCGTCAGTGGTTTAAAAAGTTCTCCTCGACCCTTATTGATATTGGTTTTACTCAAATCAAAGCGGATTATTCCTTGTTTACTTGCAATCGCCATGATGGTTTTTTGATAATTCTGGTTTATGTCAATGATATTATTGTTACAGGCACTAATTCATATGCTATACAGTCTCTCAAATCCTTCTTACATTGCCGCTTTCACCTGAAAGATCTTGACCCTCTCAAATATTTTCTTGGTCTTGAAGTGGCACGGTCTAAAAATGGTTTATGTATCTCACAACACAAATATACTCTTGAGATAATTGAAGAAATGAGTCTCATTGGTGACCGACCTGTTCACCTCCTCATGGAGCAAAATCTTAAACTTTATCATGATCATGGAGAACTCATTTCTGATCCTACCATGTATCGTTGCCTTGTGGGTCGTCTCATTTATCTAACTCTCACTAAACCAGACATCGTTTATGCTATTTAGATCCTTAGTAAGTATATGAGTCAACCACGACGACCGCATTATGAAGTAGCCCTACGTCTTACTCGGTACTTAAAACTTGCACCGGGACAAGGTTTATTTTTTCCCTCTAACAACCCTCTTCAGCTTCGAGTTTTGTGTGACTATGATTGGGCAAGTTGCCTTGATACCCTCCAATCTACCAGAGGATATTACGCTCTTCTTGATCATTCTCTTATCTCTTGGAAAACCAAGAAGCAACATACTATTTGTCGGTCTTCTGCCGAGGTTGAATACTGAGCTATGGCTACTGCTAGTTGTGAGATCACCTGGTTATGCTCCCTGCTGCATGACTTAGGAGTTCGTCACTCACAACCTGCCATTCTCCATTGTGATAATATTGTTGCATTATACATTGCTGTCAACCCAGTGATTCATTAACGTACAAAACACATCGAGCTTGATTGTCATTATATTAGAGAAAAGATCAAAAATAGAGTTCTTCAGACCTCCTACATTCACACATCATGGCAACTTGCTGATGTATTCACTAAAGCTCTTGCCCATGACCAATTCAATTCTTTGATTTATAAGTTGAGTGTTCTCGATATTCACGTCCAACTTGAGGGGGAGTGTTAGACGGTTTCATTTCAATTTGTAAATCTCTACAATTCAGGGATTACATTTGTAAAATATATTTAATATATATCATATTCTGTAAAATCCCCATAATCAAGGAATCATATTTGGCATGTAATTATTGTATATAATCTTCCCTTTGGGTCAATGAAATCAACGATTTTCTTCCCAATCTTTACATTACTGAGTAATAGCTGTCGAAGAATCACAGTACACAAATGTAGGTCGTCCTCGCTCTTCATCTCCACCGTCCATCATAGGATTGTGATTATCCAAATTTATAGTTTTCCAAGTGGTACATGCGATGTTGGACAATGGGTAGCTCTTGCTTGCATACTCACACAAAAACTGTGTCTAAAAGAAATTATAAGTAAGCATGGATAAAGATAAAGTAGTTATTAAGGAAAAATTCATGGTGAGTATGTTGATGCTTGTGTACACCCTAATTTTCAAGTGCTTTATGACCTGATCACAGTTTAAATTACTACAAATCCATGTTTTGCCTCATATCAATGAACTTGAATATAAAAAAGTTAGTCTAGATTAAAGAACTAAAATGAGATATCATTTTTCATGCTCATTTTTTTTACTCGTATTCATGATTTTGGTGGTTGAGATGAGATGCATGTGAAGTCTTGAATTCGAAATCCAATTCTAATATGATTTTGAGGTTGCCGCCGTAGAAAAGGTGCATCTATGATAAAAAAATGAGTGCAAATATTTCCAATTAGAATTTCTATGGTACATTTTCAATTAAATTTTCAACATTTATTTTAGGAAGATATAGACAATGAATGCATGTCAACGTAAAAATATCATTATCTAGATCTTCCCCTCTCCTTCCTACCCTTAATTGCTAAATGTACGTGCAAGAACACATTGTGTACTCAATGGTAAAAAAAAAAAGAAAAAAAAGAAAAAGAACAGAAAAAACACCATTGTGTACTCTCAAAGAAGCATACCTTATACTTACTCCCTTAGACAAACGATCCGCGATTATTTTTTAGGGAAACTTATATAAATATCTATTATATTTTTTGGTATTATAAAAATACCTGAAACTTTCCGTTATTACATAGATGTTTGTTTTATCAACTTCATAACATTTTTTTTAAAAGACAAAACTACCCATTTTCAGTTTTTAAAAAACCGATTTATTTTTATTTTTATTTATTCATTTTTTCAGTTTTTCAAAAAGAAATCAGTTTTAAAAAAATCGAATTTCAAAAATCAATTTTTTTAAAATATTGAAACTTGGGGTTGCATTGGTTTTTTGGTTATCATGCATACCTCTATGCTTTTACATAAAAGGTTCAAGTCCCCCCATCCCCCATTGGCAATTTAAATTTTTTCAATAAACAAATAGATGTTTTTATTACATTAAAAAGCAAAAAAAAAAAGGTCCATCATGGAATGGGTATGGCTTTTTAGTAATCATGCATGCCTCTATGCTTTCATGTTGGGAATCTAATCTTTTTAAATAAAAAATGGGTGTGGTTTCTATAAGGTTGCAACCTTAGACAATCCAATTAAGGCACACGTTCAAATTTTACCATGACATATAATTTTGATGTAAAACATTCTTAGGATTACCCCAAAATCTATTTTCATATCTATTTATAAAATTTTAAACTCCAAAAGTAGTTAAAATCAAGTAGATCTATAAACATATGAAAATCTTAAAAATGGACGGTCAAGATAATATGTTGCAAAACACATTCCTTATAGGATTCAAAATCATTTTCTTTTTTCATATTCATACATCTTGCTGTTGAGATGATCAATTATAGGGCTTTTCAACATTAAAACAACTTTTTCCGATGGATTTTTGAGGTGCATATGTAATTTTATATTTTATGGTTGCAACCTTATATAAACTTTTCCATAAAAAATAGATGTTTTTATTTTATTAAGAAGCAAAAAAAAAAAAAAACCATCATGTTGAAGAAAATCATATGCTTTTACCAATACAAAATTCGAGTAATAATGATCGAAGTAGGTATCATATTATATATATCTTTTTTTTTATTATTTCAATTTTTTTTTTTAACATGTTGAGTTACAAACAGTAAAATTCGATTTTTCAAAAACTGAAATTTAAATTTTTTGTTTTTTTGAAAAACCGAAAATTAAAAAATTTTGGTTTTTGAAAAACCAAAAATTAAAAAAAATTATGTTTTTCAATAAAAAAAGGGTAGTTTCGCCTTTTTTTTTTTAAAAAAAAGTGTTATGAAGTTGAAAAACGGACATCTGGGTAAAAACAGGAAGTTTCAAATACTTTTGTAATAATAGAAAATATAACAGATATTTACGTAATGTTCTTATTTTTTATCTAACTTTCTATCGCCCATTTTGGAATCATTGGATGAGTATTTCAAGAAAAGAAAAAAGATTTGGATTTCTAAACTCTTAGGTTTGGCCATCTAAAAATTGGACAATCTCTTTGTAGTCCTAGAACTGCAAATTTGGGCAGATATAGACCGAGTTTGAGTCTCTCTCTCTCTTTTATTTTGTTTTTTTGTTTTTTTGTTTTTTTTTGAAGTTTGCTAAGTTGATGTACTTAGGTCCCTGAAAATCCTCCTAGACATGGTTTCACTAAAGGGAAAGAATATACATTATGCTACTAGGGAGCATATAATCAACTATCTATAGGAAAATTGTTGGGGGACACATTCAACATATGCCTCCCCCAAGGTATAAAGCATCCATCTTAAAGATGGATGCAAATGGATGGTCTATCTAAAAACAATTGAAACTAGAAGTCTAAATATTTTTATCATAAAATTATTATTTTTAATTTTTTAAAATTTATTTATTTATTCATATTCATGATCTTCATATTAGAGATCATATGTCTTTAAAAATTAGGTCAAAAAATTCATATCAGAATAGATTTCTAAAAGGGAACTCATTTTTACATAGAAACCATGCCCTATCTATAATGGATATTTTCCGCTTCCTCTAGGGTTTGTATGATACATGCTATCATTCTCATGACCACAAGGGTGTGAGATAAATTAGCAGTTAGGTCATTTTCCGTCAGTTCATGCTTTGGACGGTTAAAGAGAGAGACTGGATCCTAAAATGAGTTCTATCGTGGGCTCCATCTATCTCCATCATCGTCCAACATATTGACTGGACGGTGATGGCCCTCATAACCACATGGATTCCATGACAGTCATGAGGACTGCAATTCACTTTCCCCATATAAAAGCCCAGTTGTTGTCCCCAAAGCTCAAACTGAAGAGCTTCATACTCTGGCTTATTGGCCCTTTCATAGTCTCGTGAATTTTGAGGACGTATTTTTTCCCGCCTAAAATGGCAGCGACGCCTCTTCCTCCTCCAAATTTAGCGGCGCCACCTACCAATATGGAGGCGAACCAGAGCCTTCCTCCACCTCCAGGCACTGACATGACCGGAATCTGTTTCAGAGATCAGCTATGGCTCAATACCTATCCTCTTGACAGGAACTTAGTGTTTGATTACTTTGCGTTGTCTCCATTTTATGACTGGACCTGCAACAACGAGCAATTGCGCATGAGATCCATTCATCCACTCGATATCTCTCAGCTCTCGTAAGTTAAGCTCTCCGAAAACCTAATTATTTGGAGTTTTCTGGGGATTTTGGTGAAATTTATTTGAATTTCAGGGTTTATGATGTACTATAGAGGAAATTCAGGTTTACAAATAGGGTTCGCAATGGGTCGGCATGGCCCTGAAAAACGCGGGGCACACTGGGTCTGGGCCACAAGATGTGCCCAGACCTGTCCTGCCTGGCGCGGCCGTTTCTTTCCTTGTACTTTTTCTATTTGTTTTTCATGGATTATATTGGGTCTGGACTGTTGCCAGTCCTAGGTTTATTGTTATATGTTTGGTGATTCTAGGTTGTTTGGATGATATTTTTAGAAATTATTTGAAATTTGTTGGGATATGTTGATAATTGTTTTCTTTTACGACATATTTTCATTTTGATTACTTTTTTATAATGAGAATTTAGTGTTATTTCGCATGAATTGAATCGGGAATATGGTTTTTTTATGGTTGTAATCTTTGTGTTGCTTATTATGTTTTTTGGGATATTTCTCTCGGTGATTTAACTGAATTTGATTCTTGCAAGTCATGTGTCAACATATCGTATCTTCTCTGTCTGTATAAGAAATTCTTTTAGCTTCACTGGATATGATTTTTTAATTATGAAAATTAACTTGAAATTTCTGGTCGCAACAATTTGAAAGTCACATGGTCTACCTTTTACCAGAAAGTATGATTTTTCAGTAACTGCTGTTTATATTGGTTTTCTTGTGAATTTCTTTTAATTTTCTCCGAAATTAGGCTTTATTTGCTTTCCTTTTCTTTTTTCCTCATTATCTTTCTGGGTTTTAGAGGTATGGTTAAATGCTAAATGACTGAAATAGCCGAATATGATTATATTTTGAAGGCGACTTGGATTGATGTTCATATACAAATGAATAACTGACTTTCCTGCCATGTGAATTTCTAATGGAGCTTGTGGGTCACCTAAAGGGGTGTTTTTGTACTGCACTAAGATAACTAATACTGCATTAACATTTACCAGAAAAAACAAAAAAAAGTGGAGTTTGTGGTCGGGTAAAGAACTCATGGAATTTGAGATATTTCTCTCTAAGCAATTTCGTGATTTTGGTCTGCTAGTAATAACAATGTTTGTTTCTCCACTCAAAAAACAAAGGCCTCTTTTTCAGGAAGAAATACAAACTACATCCCACACAAAAAATTTCAGGGGGTCCATTTTATAATTTAAAGGAAAAAGTGAAAATTTGGCTTCTTTCCATTCGTAAATGGGGTTCTTTTCTAATATTCACCATCTCTTGATTCAGTACATAAGAAATCAGTTTCATTTGTATTGTATAGGAAAATGACAGGGATCGAGTACATGCTTAATGAAGTTATGGAGCCTCACCTCTTTGTGTTTCGTAAGCAAAAGAGAGATGGGCCTGAGAAAGTGACCCCAATGCTAACATATTACATCTTAGATGGTTCAATTTACCAAGCTCCACAGCTCTCTAATGTCTTCGCATCTCGAATTGTGAGTACTTTGTTTTTTTTGGATTTAGTATTAGTATCAGTAGAAAATTATTTTCCGTGGTAGCATTTGTATATACCGTCTGCCTCGAGGATGTTGTATTGGGTTGTAAATTATCTTTTATTGAGGACCAGCATATGACCTTTCATGAAAATTATGCTGTATGAAATTTGATTAGGCTCTCACATCTGAAATTTCGGGAGCTGGTCATTACTAGAATAATGTAAACTGGAAGAGGGACAAGTCGCCTGCCTACAGATGTGAAGAGACAGATTTGTTTATTTGATATAAATCATGGGGGTGTATAATTGGTTTCAAAAGGAACATGATTAAATCATTACCTGTGGTCAAGGAGGTTGAGTTTGATTTGAGCTTGTTGGATATCCAACTCTTGCATCATATCTTCATCCACATCCTTGCTTTCGGTTTAATCATTTTCTCTTGGTCCTTTTTTTGGTTTTTTCAAGGGCTGGTTTTAATATTTGTGGCTATGGGAATTTTAAATGCTTTTATACAGTTCTTGAGAATGTGGTTTGGCTGCTATGGCATTTTGTTGATCATTAGGCTTTGCTTAATGATTTGATGATAGATGCACAAAAACTTGTTAGCAAGCAGGAAACTAATTTCTCCAGTAGCATGCTCTGGAAACTGGTCACCATGTCAAACCATGTTCTTACCACCTCACAATATGTATGCCATTTATGTGTCAAAACACAACAAAACATTTGGGCACATCCCATGTTTTTCATTTATAAAACATGGCCACTAGATGAGTAGAGTTGATTAAGCCAGTTTCTCTGAGTCGAAAGTGAGTTTTACTCGGTGCTGTCAAGTAACTTATGGTAGCATATGTAATATAGTTGCATTTGTAGGACATATTTCCATGCATCCAGATCATGATAATGAAACTCTGATTAAAACCCATTTTTTTTGCAAACAAGGTCCGAATTTTTTAGAACATTTTGAAAAACATTTCTTCAGCTTAGCTTCAGACTAATCTTTTCTCAGCCATGTTATTTTTGTCTCTCTATTGAGACTCACTGAATATAACTCCCTATGGAGCTGTAGTAAGGTAATATTGGATTTTAGTATTTGATTATTTTGTTATTGACTGTATTTAATTAGTTTGTGAATATTTTTATGGGATTGTATAGTATAATACCTGTTACATATGGTATAAGGTCACAATCTTGTGAAGTCCTACAACTTGGGGTCACAAAGTTACGAGAATATTTTTTTTTTTTGGAAATTTGAGCCCAATCAAAGGCACACCTTGATTTCTCGCTGTGAGTTTAGTAGAAAAGATGTTTTAGAAAATCAATTTTAGACTCCAATTGACGTGAACCAGAGATACCACAAAGCACAACTCAAATCAAGGATCAAATTTGAATATAAAAGAAAGGGTTCAGTGACTTGCTCCAGGCCTTATATAAGTGAACTGTTGATTCATGATCTTCCAGATTTTGGCGAGTGATACACTGTCAATTCGTCATCATCCAAGCCTTATCCCAATTATTTGGGGTTAGCTACATGAATCATGTTCCTCCATTCTTCTCTATCAAGACCTATACCCTCAGCAAGAAGAGTTAGGGTAGGAAAACACAAGCTTGCTTAAACAATGGGGGTGTGCTCGTCCTTCACGACTCTCACTCAGCTCCTGCAATTTGGAGGGAGCTTGAGACTCAATCTTGTTTAGACTAGGTTTTGGTTTTCTTGGCCTTTGATCTTCCATCAATCATTAAGCTTTGATTGCTTGATCTCACCCCTTAGCTTTAGATTCTTTACACCTAATGATGAAAATCAAGCATCATCTCCCTCTTAGGATGAAGCTCTCCAGGGTTATTCTTAGCACTCTCACTCTAGGGCTCTCTTTTTCTCTCACTAGACTTTGTCTCTCTCCCTAAGGCTATCAAGGCAAGAGACTAATCACTCAAAGCTAACCAAAAGATTAATAGACCAGGGTCCCTTAAATGACCATGGCTTGAGGTATTTATAGCCTTGGGGGTGAAGTTATGGTTTTTGCCACGTTTTGGATTTAGGGGTTAGTCAATTACATGTTTTGAGTGGGAATATCAAAGTTTTCCCCTTGAAACTTGGGGTTCAACTTGGTAAACTGGTTTGCCCCTTTATTTTGGCCAAATTGTTATATTTTTGAGCCAAATTTGTTCCGTAGATTGATGAGGAATGGGTTAAGAATCTTATAGCTCAGCATCCATCCGAAAATTCCTCATCCATGGAGTTATGGATGAATCATTGCTCCAAGGTCATTTTGCAGCAGTCCTTTTTTTACCTTGATCCAATCTCAAATATTGAAGCAGATGGTTTCAAAGGTTATATGAGCTTTAGGACATTGAGCAAGGATTGTATCTACCTAATTTCAGCTCAAAATGCTTTATTGTTTGAGAGAAATTAATGAAGGAATGGAGGTCATTCTGTCAGATGTAGGCAATAGTCCCTGTGTGACTTTGGTCTTGAAATAGGACCCTTCTGAGCTTGTAGGTGGATGAGTGAGAAACGTTTCCCTCAAATATCAGCTGAATCCACCATGGGGTATTGGAGAGATCGATGGAACAAGGCTCGGGCATCACTGCAGTTTGGATGCTGTTTACAGTCGTCTTGACCTACTGGCGGTGGGAATAGGGCATCGACCATTGGTGTGAATAGTAATTTTGATCTTGATCCATTTGGAAAGTGGGTCAAACGATGCCCAAATGATTGGAAATTTGTGATTGATCTTGGTGAGACTTGGATTAAAGTCTCATCAAGTTTCATTTTACTCTGAGATTGTTTGTTACTGGATGCTTTGCTAATCGGAACCTGTTTTGATGCACTGGCTATGGTAATAGTACCACAGTTGGTGGGAATACTGACCCTCGATTTTGAAGCCCCAAAATTAGGATCAAATGATGTTTGAATGCCTTGAAATTTGGAGGGTAGGTCAATGGCTCTCTAGATTAAAATTCTGTCCATTGGTTCGACAGTTCGGTGTCTCTTGATGGTCCCTTGATTTTTGCTAGAGAGACCTCTCTTAGCATGTATCAAGGATCTTCCAAATTTCATCCCATTCCGGAACCGTTTTAAGGGTCTATTGTAGGTCTTTGCATATATGATTGGCATATTGGCTTGTATCAAATGTTGAATGGCTGTTTGATTGGTGATTTGGCTTTTGCTGATGGTGGACTACAATGCTTGACTTCCCCCTTGTAGTCCCTCTTTGCCTGGGCTTATTGGGCAATAGAAGGGTTTTGATGTCCATCCTTGGGCTTTGTGCACCTGTTTTGGGAAGTCGTACCCACTTTTTTTTCCAGTTTGAAACTTTGCAATGTCTAGATGGGGTTGATGGCAGTTTGGGGTGTTTGATTCAAAATACACCCAAACACACCCTAACTGTTAGATTTCACATCTAACAACCAAAGTTGATAGTGACCTCATTGTACTAAAGGTAAATGGTCTTACTATATAATTAACCTCTATGGCTTCAAAGACTCTTGATGTTTAAATATTGATGTCTTCATGTAATATTGTTTAAGGCAATCATTCTGATGTGTACGACAACCGATTATCTATGTTCTTAAACTAAGTGCAAGATCTAATGGGCTCATGAGCACACATGACGAAATTCATAATTTGATTTTCAACATTTTCCCCAAGTATCCTCTTTGGACACTCCATTCCCTGCACTTATTATCCAAATTGTTTCTCAAACCTATTTCCCCTGATCTAGGACCAAGGGGGCTTGACTCCTAGAGTATACATGTGAGGAAGGTGTTGCAAGAAAGGTTTCCGAATGATTTAGAATTCTAATTAGGTTACGATTTAAGAGTTATAAACATTGTTTAAAGAACGTTTTCTAAATGATTGAGAATTCTAATTAGGTTATGAAGAATTCTAAACATTGTTTAAAAGCTTGTTGATCCATCACCGATTTGGATTAGGAATTGGTTCCGAACAAACCAGTTCCAGGTCGGAACCAAGAATCTATCTTGTTTGGGCCGACTCGAACGAGGCGATCCAGTTAGAGAACTGGGGGATCCGGATTGCCAGGTTTTTTGACAGTGTTTTTTTAATTAATTTTCCCCTTTTTTCTCCCCTTTTTTGTTTTTTTATTGTCCGATTCTCACACCAGAGAAGTGGCCTACTTGCTAATCCATATTGGCGAATTGTTGAATAGATGAGCTTCCCTAACAACCGAAAGCATTGGTTTTAAATGGTTTTGGGTTTCTATGAAGATCATGACCTTCAAGTTTTTAAAGTCTTGAGGACTCCTACATTGAGTAGGAGGTGGATGATAGGAGGCCTAAATGTGTTGGAATTAGGCTAAGTCTAGGGAAGTTTTTGGTATGATTATTGCAACAATTAGGATTTGGTTGAAGGGTTTTAGATAGGAATACTATGATGGAATACAGCAGGACCAGCAAGATAAGATGCATTCTAGGGTTAAATTAGGGAAAATCCATTTTTAAAACTAAAGTTTAAAGGCCTCAAAGGTAGTGGAGGTATTGTTAGGGTCAGTGTTTTAAAATGCGGCCTCATCATGCGGGATGCGCTCGCATCTGCATTAGAAACAGGCGCATATGCGCTTTTGACAGATGCGACCGCATATGCGCCGCATCAGGCCGCATCGTAGTCACATCCCGCATAGGCCGCATCGCACTGCATCCCATTGCTACAATGTCCACCGAATTTTTTTTCTGTTTTGCCCCTCGGGGAGGGGCAAAATGGTCTACCATCCAAATGTTAGGGACACTGTTTGGGGGGGTATTAGGGGCCCTAAACGAAGATTTTCAGCCACTTTTGTGGTTTGTTTTGCATCAAATCGAGGTAAAAAAAATTTAGGCGGATTTTTTTTTTCATTGAAATCGTTGATTTGGCGGTTGTTTGATACTTCGATGTTCATTGGATGCCTTTGATTGTTGATTTGGAGGTGTTAGGGTGAATTTGTGATAAAAAATTGGGGGTTTCAGAAGTCGTAAAGAAATCGAGCAGTACTTCACAGAGTCGGT